AAACCTGCCCACACATCTCCACCACCCCCACTATTACTACACCCCACAACAGAGCCATCAGCATCCCAGGATCTTACAGCTGCACCTCCAGGAATGTAGTATACCTCATCCAATGCACCAAATGCCCTGATGGAAGATATGTAGGAGAGACCAAACAACAACTGCGCACCAGAATGAACGCACACCGGAAATCCATCAAAGACAGAAACACCCAATTACCGGTGGGGGCACATTTCTCACAAGAGGGCCACTCTCTCTCCAATCTCTCAGTCCTGATCCTCAAGGGAAATTTACACAACACATCCTCCCAGAGATGAGCCTATGAGCTCCATTTCAACCTGCTGGATACTAGAGATCATGGACTAAACATAGACATTGGATTTTTGATGCATTATAATCTGCCTGGCAACTGACTCCCCAGCCCAGCCCAGCCCCTGGCTTCTTTACTTTTCATTCCATCCAGGAAGAGCACACACCAACTGCTGAAGCTTCCTTAGCCTGACGAAGGTTTTTTGAACCCGAAAGCTTGCTTAATAACTATTCTCCAACCATTTGGGTTGGTCTAATAAAAGATATCAAATTCACCCAAGAAACCTTGTCTGCCTATGTCCTTAGACCAACACGGCTACAACCCAAACCCCTACTTCTGTAGAAGCATCTAGGACAATTTAAAAGTGCAAGTGTCATGTGAAGCACCTGCAAGATGCTGCTACTGACCCATGCGAGATTTGAAGATCATCACTCCTGATTCTTCAGAATTTCCTACACAATTAGTAGATTGAACTTCATAGAATTGCTGAGGATTTTTTCAGTTGTCTAGCTCATTCTGTCTTTCTAGATTATTTTGAAAACAGCCGCTGTTGATACTTCCCTTCGGTGCATGATCTGACTTGGAACTGGAGGCAGAAGGGGGCGAGAGGATGGGAAAAAATTAACCTGACCAATAAAGTTCCTGCTAACGCCTCATGTGTATTTTTAAAAATGAATGGAGGTAGGAAGACCTGCCACCGAAGCCAGCTGCAGGCTTTCCTTATGCAAACCTTGGCATTGTAAACTCTTTTCCTTAAAGCAGCTGTTCCCAAAGTTTCATTCCAAAGGGGCAGTCCTGGATGGCGGGCCACACACTGACAGTTTCTTAAAGTATTACATTTCAGTTTAGATAAAAATGGAAAGTACAAGTACAGAACAACATTATTTCAACTTTATTTTTATTTTTTTTCTTTTACCATTACACAAGATATAGGTTTACTAAATAGTAACAAATGACACTTTAATTTTAATAACGAATTTATTTGCCAAGTATTAAAAACATTAAATCAAATAAACATGTTAGAGAAATTATTTACAAATACATTATACTGGATAAAAGTGAAAAAGCCTCATACCTATTTTTTTTTTTTTTGTTGAGTGAGATTTATGCAGCTGACTTTTTTCAGCTGCATGTGTTGCAGTCTTGGTTCTTGATCATTTATCCACCTGGATCTTAACTTAGACTTGCTTATATTTGCTGTAGAGAAAAAGTTTTCTTGCATATGTTAATTCTTCCAAACAGAGAAGTCAGGTACTGTCTACATTTACATGTTGCAGGGTAGGTTTTTGGAGAGAGTCCTTTGTAAAACTCAATCAGACTAAGTTTGTGGTAAGATGTCTTTACTTGTCCACTTTTGCAAGCTGCTGATTTCTAACTGCATGTCCATCAGAGAACTTTCAGATGGATTTTCAAAAGTAGCCACTTAAAATCCAAGGAGCTCTTGCTGAATTCTTCCAATGAATGTTAAAAAACTGGAAATACTTTCTGGAATGAAGTACTTCCAAATACTCATTACAAACTAGTTTTTTATCCAAGAGCACTTTGCAGGCTGCAAAATGAGTGACACTATCTTCCTAGAGTTGCTTCTGAAGTAGTTTTAATTTTCTTTCAGAGGACTTAACACTAGATTGAACAAAGTGAACTTCCCATGGCCTTGACGCTTCGACTTCAATTTGTTGAGAAGACCAACAATATTCATTTAGCATTCTTATTCACACAGACAGTTAATTTTAGTCAGCAGAGGAAAATCTTGTCCTTTTTTATTCAGAAATTCATATGTCTTTACTCAAGAGAAAAAAGCATTTCCAGATGGCACCTGTACTTAGTCAAACTGCTATGAAATATATGACATCACCAAATTCAGCTTCTGACCCTTCTAAAATGGCCTTAAACCGCCAGTGATTGAGCCCCCCAGATTATGAAGTGTATGACCTTCAACAAATAACACTCATAATGTCTTCCTGATAGATAATGTAGTAGTAATGAATTATTTCCACAAATGGGGGGGGG